TCGCCAACCGCACTGGCTTCCCGGCCCCTGGAGCGCGCTTCGACGCCTACTGCTTCCGAGGTGCGCGGGGGGCCACGCCCGGGGGAGTGTGTCCCTGGAGGTCCAGCCCCCGCGGGTGCGTCACTGATGGCCTTGCCCAAGGGCTCGCACCCAGTCAAGGCCACGCCCCGGGAGCTTTGCTTGCTGGTGGAGGCGGAATCGGGGCAGGGAGGGACGCGGAGAAACTGCACCGCGATCAGCCAGACCCCGGGGGAAGGCCGTGCCCCTGAGACAGGCTTTCCCCTGGAGCCACGCTGGGCGTTAGAACGGGCCCCAGCTCTGGCTGGAAGCTCTAGGAGGTGGGTGATAGTCCTGAGGTCCCGGAAAGATGCGTCCCAGTAGGGAGCGTTTCTTACCTGGAACCACGCCCGGAAGCGCCCTTTGACCAGAGATACCTCGGCTAGCCACGCCCCTGGGCCAGGCCACATTCCCAGCACCAGACCAGGGATCACCCTTGCACTTGGGTGGAGCCACAGCCTCAAGCTGCAAACCTCAGCTCAGAAGAGTTAAGTCTCAAAAAAAGAAAAAAAGTTAAGTCTTCCACGTAAGGGGATGGCGTCCCTTTGTAAAAAGGCCACGCCCATTAGGCGCTTTCTGCCCCTGAGCTTCGCCCATGAGCCAAGCTGTCTCTTGACCCTTCACTGGGTGCAAGCCTGAACAGTGGGGATAATAACTTTGCACCACGCTCTCTCCTTCTGGGGTATTCCAGAAACCACCCAGAGAGATAGAGGGTCACAGAGAGACAGGTCTATATGGCAGTGTGCTAGAATGTGGGTAGACTTCAAGAAGAACTTCCCAGCCCCTGCGCCTAATACAACCTCTTCTACTTTCTACCACAGCTCATTACCCTACTCCACAACATGGAGACCCAGAGACCCCCTCATCTGGGGATGAGGGGGAGATTCTATCGGCAGAAGGGCCTCCAGCCAGAGAACTGGAGCCCAACTTGGGGGAAGGGGAAGTGATCACCCCTGACTTCCAGGAGCCGCTGCTGTCGAGTGGGGAGGAAGAGCCTGTGATCTTGGCAGAGAAGCAGGAGTCTCAAGAGACCCCCAGCCCTGCCCCTGGGGTTCCCACACTAACCTCAAGGCCTTCCCTGGAGGCTAAGGAGGTGTGGCTGCGCACCCCGTTCTCCAGCAGCCTGGAGGAAGGCACTTCACCTGGCACGCACAGCAAGGCGACTCCAGCCAACCTCAAGCCCAAGAGGCGGAATCGCTTTAAAGGGTTGAACGGGCGCCACTTCCAACAACAGGAATCCCAGCAAGGGCTGGAGGGAAGGCTTGAGGTCAGTGCCCAGCCTCCCACCCCAGAGGCTGCTGGGAATCATGTGGAGCCTCCCCTGGCCACCGGAGCCACAGACTCCTTTGGGAGTGACAGGAGCCAAAGCCCCTGGGCTGTGCTGTCCAATGAAGTGGATGTGCCTGGAGCTGGTGAGTGGGGTCCCAGGAGGAGGTGGGACATGAGTGGGTGTCACGGGGACGGGGAGGAGGCTCTGAACCCCTGCTGGGTCCCCGGGCCTTAGAAGCCCCCTCCTCCCCAGGCTAAACCAAGGAAACACTCAACGGAAGGAGCGCTGAGAGATAATTATTATTGTTGATATTGTTGCAGGTTCCCCTGGTGGCAGGAGCCCCCCAGAGCCCTGGCTGTGGCCCCCAACAGTGGTGCCACCCAGCATCCCAGGCCCCAGCAGGGCCTTTGGCCTCGAGTTGGAGGAAGCCAAGGGCACCAGTGAGAGGCTTGATACCCTCAAACTTCCCTGGTCCCCCTCAGAGACCACAGCTCTGGCTCCCAGCCCCTCAGAAGATCCCAGTAGTGTCCCCTGGGAGGCGTCCCCCATGGTCACTTCCCTAGATCTCCCTGTCCTGGCCATGCTTCGTGCTCCCAAAGTGTGGCTCCTACCACATCCTACACCCCTCCCTACCCAGACCAATGGGGTTAAGGGTCACAGTGAGGCCATGCCCTCTGCCCTACCTTCCCTGGCCTCAGAGACCCAGGCTGGTCCCCAGGACCCCATCCATCCAGAGATGTATTCCTTGCCCCCCTCCTTGGGCCTGACAGGACAAGGTCAAGAGGCCGTGTTCCTGACATTCAGTGACCACAGAGCAGGAAGTCCCACAGCCCTCTCACAGGTAGCCACGGACACACAAACCAGAGCCAGTCCTAACGCCCCTAGGGCAGACTTTGGAGAAATTGGGGGGACCGGCCCCACTGGACTCAGCGAAGCTGAGCACCCCAGATCCAGCCCACAGGCTTCTGTGGATTGGAATGTGGCAGCTGATTTCACCCTCACAGAGATGGCAACTGAGCCCACGGGAGGGACAGGAATCTCAGGGTCTGAGTATGGGGTCCTCCACACAGCGGAGAGTCCCACTTCCAGCTCACAGGCCCCTGTGCAAGAGGCGCAGGGCACAAGCCCCTCACTGCACATCAAAGAGCTGGACCCCCACACCCCCTCTGCACCGCCGGGGGACCCCAGAGTTTCCCTGAATTTGGAGCCTTGGGCTGCTACAGATGAAGGAGGTACAGAGGGTCCCACGGATACAGCCACCGTGGACCCCAGTGATGCTGGTAGGATTTGGGAATCTGGATCCCTCATGGTTGAAGGAGCTGAACGCCCCACCATGAGCCCTCGAGTGGCTGTGGATACGAAGGCGGTGACGTCCCTCGTGTCCCTGGACCAGGGGGACAAGGGTGGGGTCCTGGCCACGTCCACCATGGACTCCTCCAGCTCCCAACCCCACCCAGAGCCAGAGGGCCAGGTGGTGACCCAGGGAACACTGGAAGCCTTGGCCCCTCCGCATGAGGGCATCCCCCTGGGGGATCCCACTCTTCCTCCTTGGACACCTACAGTGGCCAGCATGGACCAGCCTGTGTCAGTGTCCTCAGGGGAGCCAACAGTGCTATGGGACTCCCCCAGCACTCTGCTGCCTGCCCCTCGGGTCCTGGACAAGTTTGCGCTGGAGGTCCTTGCAGGAAGTGCCGGTGTGGAGGAGGCATCCAGTGGAGAGGAGCCGGCCCTGCCAGGGGCCCCTGCAGATGGGAGCGCAGAGCAGAGTGAGTTCAAATTTTGTGGCCTCATTCAGCCCACTGTGGTCAGGGCTTGGGGACCAGGGGCCAGGGGAGCTCAAGGTAGGGAAAAGGGGTTGTTCCCAGGGTCCTGGGAAGGTTTCTAGCAGGAATAACATTGTAGGTGGGAATTTATCAGGTGAGATGAATTACAGAAAGGATGTTTCTGGCAGAGGCACCAGCCTGGGCAAAGGTTGGAGAACAAGTTGATGTGTTTTAAGGCACAGTGAGTGGTGGGGGAATGATGAGGTGTTGAGTGGAGTTGGATTTTGGTTCAATTAACAACTCATGTTCATGGCCACACAGAGCTAGACAGTGCTATACAATGCTGGGGGCCCTCCTTCAGTGATGCCCCAGTCTGGGAAAGACAGAGCTAGACACAGACCCCGCCCCCCAAGTGGGGCCGAATGGAGGAGGCATAGTGGGATTCAGTGGTGCATTTTCTGGGGGACCTTGAGCCACAGGAGAGTGGGCACTGGGAAGGGGCTGGAGTATTGTACAGCCTAGTGGTATAGACAGCAAGCTGACACTCAGGGAGGAATGTCACTACCAGCTAGTCAGTGGCCAGACTTCAGAGGGAGCCCAAGTCTGCATACGCCTCAGCTGCTCTTTGCTCAGCAGAATCCAGAAAAAGCTACCACCCCGTTCTTCTGGAGCCAGGTCGGCCAGAAGCTCTCCTGCAAATTCTGGCCCTTTTTTAAAAAAAAAAAGAAATGTATTTTTTTATTGAGGAAGGGAGAGGGAGAGAGAGATAGAAACATCAATGGTGAGAGAGGATTATAGACCAGCTGCCTCCTGCATGCCCCCCACTTGGGATAGGGCTCACAACTTGGGCATATGACCTGACCGGGAATTGAACCATGGGCTCCTGGTTTAGGTCCACACCCAACCATTGAGTCACGCTGGCTGGGCCAGGCCTTTTCTTAGGTCCTGCATATTGAGCGTTTTTGGTTTTGTTTTGTTTTTGTCAAATGAGCTTTTAAAAACACCAGCATCTAATGAAAAGGCACTTTTTTTTGAGTTGCAAAAACACTTATTAACACAATTGGTTTTACACTTGCTTTCTTTTTTGAAGGCAAAGTGTGCATGATGGGAATAGCAGGTTCAGGGTGTCGTCACCAACCCTGTCACCTCTGGGCTAGATTTTCTTTTCTTAGATGCTCAGGAGGCAGGCAGACAAGGATACATGAATTGATAAAGGCTGATGCTTATTGGTGACTGCCTACGTACTTGGCTTGTTTGAGCACTTTACTGGAATCATCTTGATCGATCCTTTTAATGTCCTTGTGGAACAAGTTCTAGTACGACCTTGACCTTTACTTCAGCATGGGGAGACTGAGGCACAGGGCGGTCTAGTGACTTGTGCAGAATCATGCAGCTGGGACTGTTAAGGAGAAGGTTTGAATCAGGCCAACTAACAACATGGTCTCTCTCAACCACTAGGCTGTACAACATGTATTTCATTGGCGTGAGACACACACACACACACACACACACACACACACACACACACAACCCTGAGGTTTTGGGAGGGGTGAACTTGCTCTGGAGGGAGCAGAGAAGAGACTAGCTGTAGGCGATGGGCAGCGGGAAGGAGTTTCAATGACAAAGGAGCTAGAAAAGAGGAGTCCAAGAGGTGGCAGGTAGACCATGCAGAGTGGTGCAAAGGGAAGCCTTGGAGCCAGTGGCAGGAGGGTTAGAGAGAGGCAGGCAGAGCTGGGGTGGGGGGAAGGGGATCTGGGTGCCTAGCCACCCTATGTTTGCTGCAGAAATGCTAATGAAGCCAAAAATAAATGCAGCACCAGTGAGCGACTGAGTCACCGCCAGTCCGTGGGCAGCTGTCGGCAGCTCGGGTCACCTGGCAGGGCTCACATATTCCCATGCCTAGCAGTCTTGCGCATGTGCACACACAGGACAGACACAGCCACAGGCCCCTCTGGCAATCCCTGGGGGCACATGCCACCACCCCAGGGATCGGCCTCTGTCCCTGTAGGAAGGCCAGCAGCTACCTTCATTCAGTTAGCAAGCAATTACTGAGTGCCGGCTATGTGCCAGGCCCAGGCTGAGACCAAGTCACTTATCTTCTGGAAGCTGGCCTTCTAGAGCAGCACTCTAGAACTTGCCCAGTGATGGGAATGTTCTGGAGCTATGCTGTCTAATACACTAGCAACCAGCCCCACATGGCTACTAAGCCCTTGAAAGCGGCTAGTGAGACTGAGGAACTACATTTGTACTTTCATTTGCTTTTAGTTAATTTGACTTAAAAAGCTATATTTGGCTGCTATGTGGAACATCATTGCTCTGGGGGAGGCACAAACACATAACAGCGATCCTAATAAATAGCTAAATGATATTGGAGGTTAGAAAGTGATTGGGCAGCCCGCTGGTTTGGCTCAGTGGATAGAGTGTCAGCCTGTGGACTGAAGGGTCCCGGGTTCAATCCTGATCAGGGGCACATGCCCGGGTTGTGGGCTTGATCCCCAGTGGGGGGCATGCAGGAGGCAGCCGATTAATGATTCTCTCTCATCATTGATGTTTCTATCTCTCTCTCCCTCTCCCTTCCTCTCTGAAATCATATACATATAGTGATTGGGCAAAGAGACACGTGAAACAAGGGGTGGGAGATGCCAGGGCGCGGTTTCTGGAAGGGGAATCAGAAAGGCCTCTCCTAGCAGAGGACATTTGAACAAGCCTGAAGGAGGTGGGGGGAGCCATGCAG